AACGTTAGGGTCAAGTCTTCTTATTTTCTCAATATTTGCATACTGGTCTGTTTGTTCTCTAGCTTGTGGTTGTACTGAGTTTCTCAAAGCGAACCATTCATAGTTTGCCCATGTTACTGTTTGAACTAAGTCAGAGTTAGAATATATCTTATATCCCATGAAAACTTCTGGAGCATATTGGTATCCGACATAGAAAATTCCATTGCAACCTTTCTTGTCAGACAACTTGGCAGAAGGTTTTATTTCAATGTCTTGTTCCACGTATAAGAATGAGTTGTCAATAGAAATAATATGAAACCTGTCGCAAGCAATATCTACTGTTGTTGAAGAACCTTCTCCAAACTCACCTACGTTTCCATAAGAAACAGCAGTTGTATATTCGTAAGTTCCAGGAACTATTTCTGACCTTCTAATGGCATTGTCGCATTCGTTATACCATTCGGAAACATTTCCATTCATGGCATCCAAAACTGTTGGCGTTATATTCTGAGCGGCGTACATTTCATATGGGTAAAAATATAGAATAGTTGGATTTATATGTCAGTAGTAGAACCCACGTGGACCAAACTTTACTTTCTTCCTGACTGAGTTTTTAACTCTTCTTTTTCCTTCATTGCCACTACTTTCACTAGATGAAGTTACTTCTTCACTACTTTCACTTTGTTCTACTCTTCTCTTCTTCTTTGGTGTCGCTTTTGGTAACTTGCCCTCTGCTTCAAGTTGTTGCATCTTTGCCTCATGTTCACCTAGTATGTTGTAAATTTCCCATGTCCTTTTTGCCTTTGGGCTCTGGTCGCCCATCTCAGGTAACCAATATCTTAGAAAGAGTTTGTCATAGTTTGTATTTGAGTCTTCGCGTATTGTTTGCATGACTCTTTCCTGAGTTCCCGGTTCAAGCTCTTCAAACAGTGCCTGTCCATATGGGATTAGCTCGTTTCCAAATATATGTTTTTGTAGCCATTCTGGTTTTCTTTCCATGTTACCAACAATATCTTTTGTGAATGGGAAAGCTTTTACCCAATCTTTCAGTCTTTCGTCGTTTATTTCTGTAGTTGGTTTTATTTTGTCAAGGAACATGTTTTTCAATACTAACATTTCATTTGGTACTGTCCATTTGAGTTTTCTTAAATATTCATCCCTTCTCGATTCATCGCCTGCAAAGTAAGTTTTTATGACATTTTGTAAACTTTCGTTTGCAAGGTCATGTACAATAGGTTCTCTTCCTTCTCTGTCCCTAACTCTCTTTCTAAACTCTTCACCAAATATACCATCTTTATGGTTCTGTGTAGTTCTTTGAGATAAATGTTCTAGAACGTCAGGTGTTATATTTCCATCAGCCATGTTCATTTCATACTGGTCCAAAATATCTGCATGTTTCATATCTTTCAATGGCATTAAAGCCGCGCTTAAAATACCAGCTATATCTGGTTCACCATTCACTTCCATTGCGTCTACAACTTCTTGGAATTGAGGTTGTAAGTTTATGAACCACCTATCCGGATTAGCTTTATGACCCCATCTCATTGTAGTTCCATAGTCTGCAGAAACAAAAGTAGGTCTGTTTCCATCTTGGCTAGGTTCTGAATGAACTTTAAACAATGTTTCATTTTTATATGTTTTGTTGAAATTTAACCTTTTATTTTCACCGAGTTCATCCAAAGATTGAACGTTAAATGCTCGTAAGTAAAAAGGGTTGTTGTATTTGTGTACATTTTCTTTCAGTACTTCCATTCTATGCTGAATATTTTCATCTGGTGTTGGAGTCTTTTGTATGTCGGCAAACATTTTTCGATATTCTTCTACTGTGTCAGCCGAATTTTTTTTAGACTCTTGGAAATATTCCATATTCTTCACATACACTTGTTGAGGGTCAAGATTTTCCGGCTGTTCCAAATCTTCATCTAGTTCTGTGAAGTTAGTTTCCAAAGGAGGGACTTGTTCGTTTCCTTCAGGCTCTTCTAGCTGTTGTTGCTGAACTATTTCTTCCATGTCTGGTTGTATCTGAACTTCTTCCTGTGGAGTTTCTTGTACCTCATCTGCTGGCATTTCATATATTCCGAGACCGTTTTCAACAATTTCCCTATCTACGTCATCCGCATTCATAAGCCTTTGTTCTTTCGTTCCGTCTCTATTTTTTACGCGTTTCATGACGAAAGTTGAATTGTCATTTAGCTCTGACATCAAATATCTCGGAGTAAATTCGTTCATGTCATTTGGATGATATGCTATTAAATCATATCTCTTAGCGAGCTTGTATTTTCCAGGTTTGAGATTATATCCGTTTTGGTGCTGAGCCATAAAGCTAAATAGGTTCGGGTCAGTATTTCCATCCTTGAACTTTCTAATAGCTTCTTTATATCTGTCACTAAAGTCAATAGTATCTGGGAAACCACACTCTTCTTTAAGCATTTTTAAGAATTCTTGGTTTCCTTGTTCTCTACTTCTTTTATGTCCTTGCTCTGTTTGTGGTTGTTGTTGTGCAGGGTTTTGAACTGTTGGTTGTTGTGCTGGTTGTGCAGGGTTTTGAACTGTTGGTTGCTGTGCTGGTTTTGGTTGTTGTTGTGGTGCAGGGTTTTGAACTGTTGGTTGTTGTGTTGGTTTTGGTGCATGCCTGTGTCTGTGTCCATGTGACGATGTAAATGTTTTAGGTAGTCCTGGTGCAGGTGCTTCTCTTGGAGGGTTTGGTGGTATATAAGTTCCACTAGCTAGTATATAAGTTCCACCAGCTGGTATATAAGTTCCACCAGCTGGCACATATGTTCCATCTGCAGCGTAATGTCCTACCTGACTTTTCGTTCTTAAGAAAGCATTTACTAGGTCTGTTTTGGTCTGTTGTAACTCTTTTTCTTGACTTTTCACAACAGTTGCTCTAACGGCGTCATAGGCACTTTGAACTGCCTGTCTCGTTGCTGCATCTGTTATTTTCGTCATATTTTGTGCTACTTCTTTTAACTCTTTGTCGAAACCTTCAGACTTCAGTTTCTTTCCAGATGAGAAGTCGTTCACTAGTTTCACCTTACTATGAAGAGCTTCGAAGGCGTTCTTAAAGTCAGCATTTGTTAAAGCTTCATTTGAACTGTCTTCATCCGCTTGTATTTTTGTCCTTATTGACCCTATAAGTTGGGCTGCTTTAGCGTTGGCTTGGGCATCTAACCAGTCATTGTTAGCTTTTATATATTCTGCGCTTTTCATTGCCTTTTGCATGGCTGCGTCGTTATTTTTACTTTCTTGTGCTAAGTTTTCATACTGTACGGTTTGGTTTTGCAACTGTAAAAGTTTTTCTGCCTTTACATTTGCTTCAACTTCTTTTTTATACTCATCGCTATCCATATATGTCTTCAGGGCTTTTTGTTTTATCTCTTCATCTTTCAGTACTTTATATTGAGTAGTATGGTTTTTCAAATTTATGACATCTTGTTCCATTTTTGCTACTTCTGCTGCTTTTTCTGACACTTTTTTCGCATATTGCTCTGTACTTAGTTCTTTCAGTTGTTCTTCTTTCTTCTTTTTCTCTACGTTTAACTCATTGAGTTTCTTTGTGTGTCTGTCATATTCTAGTTTCTTTTCGTTTTCACTTATTTGTCTCTGTATGTCTATGTTTGACTTTTTGACATCTGTTATTTGATTTTTGAGTGAACTCAAATTCATTTGACTTTGAGGGTTATAGGCTGTTCCGTCTGCAGCTCCACCATAGCCTGCCATTTTCGCTAAAAGTGCCGCTCTTAAACCTCCACTCTGTGCACCAATGACTCGGTTTAAAAGCATAGGATTGCTTGACATTTGTTGCAACATAGTGGGGTCATTCAGCATTTGTTGTTGCAACTGTTGTTGTGGTGTTAGTTTTACTATTGGATGTTTCAATGCTCTCTTCCTCTTACGTATATTTTTACGTAGCTTACGTGGCATTTTAAGTGAAGTTAAAAAGCGGTTTTTGACAGATGTTTATATGACACTTTCTCCGGTTTATAGGACCTCTCTCATATTCTATCTAAAACTCATAGTCATGTATGTCCTCTAACCATCTCATAACGGTTTCCAAACCACTTTTATCGGATGTAAAGTAAAAACATGGATGGTTATGTAAAACGTCTAAAGTTTCTAAAGAGTCTCTCAAAGTCCAGTCTACTTGGAACGCCCGTAACTTTTCTGTAGCGACGATAGACCCTTACTTGTCCGGACAACAGTTATACTATTTTGAGTTCTCTACAAAAATTTTAGGGGCTAGAAGGCACGAAGTGCCTGGAAGGCCCCCTTACCCAAAAAAACCTCATTTTATACTAAACTCATTTTATACTAACATCTTCGGGGCTAGAGGGCACGAAGTGCCTGGAAGCCCCACTACCTTTTTTTTTTTTTTTTTTATTATAAAAAAGAAAAAATAAAGCACGTTAAAATTTTTCTTTCTTGATTTTTTACAAAATCTACTTAGAATTATGCAAAATATGACTAAATAATTATAAATTTCAAGTTAAATTTTAATTTTGATAAATAATTTAAATTTCAAAATATCAAGTTCAGTTCGACTATGTATGTAGTAATTCCTCAATAAAGTGCCAAAACCCTATTAAAATATATGAACATTTTCAACATTTTAATGTTTTTATTTAAAAATTTGTTGGAATATGAGCTTCAAACAATTATTATGTAAATAAAAATAATTAAATATATGTATTTATTCGTATTACAACCGTAGTAAGTCGATTCTTCCTTTCTTCTACTGAGTTTTGAATTTGATTTCGAATTGTAAAGAGATTCAAAGGGAAAATACTAGCGGATAAAAACTACCTCCATGAAAGGGTCATAATGGAGTCAAGTTGTATTTTTTGATATTTTTTGCTTTTCGAGCCTAAATAGGTAGCCAAGATAATGCCTAAAAATAAGGTTCTAAATTCTGAAGTTTACATGATCCTCTCGTGTGCACCCTTAAAGTAAGTTTTTTTGTTCGAAATTTTAATATAAAACAAAAATATGAAATGTTCTTTACATTCTAAGGCAAATTGTTAATGAGCCATCTGCCTAAGCTTGAGTTTAAGCCTTGATATCTGTTTATTGATTTTGTCAAATTCTTCTTCGATTGCGTCTCTATCTCTTAATTGCCCTCCTTTAGGAATAACAAGGTTCAACTTTCTCTCAAGTTCTGCTTTTCTAGGTAACAATTTATCAATTTCCTTCCTTATATCTTCAGCATTTGTGTTTGAATAACTATCAAACGAGTCATTATAGAAATTATCTTGTTGAGGAGGCTGCCTGCTGAATCTGTCTTGTTGTGGTGGCGGAGGTTGTGCCATGGCCATTCTTGCAGCGCCGCCGCCAACTGGCATGTCTTCTGAGTAGTTTCCTCCTTGGAATCCGTCTGGAACATCCATTCTCTGTGGTGGAGGGGCCCTTCTTTCGAATGGCTCTGGTGCTTTGGTTGGTTTTTCACTGAAATTGTCAAATTTGTCGTCAAAATTACGGTCATTGAAGCCATATGATGGAGCTGGCGGTTCCTGCTTTTTAGGTTCTTCAAATGCATCCATGAAATCATCCTTTCCTTGGTTGTAATTGAAAGATGGTTTTTCAAAATCATTAAAATCATCATTTCCTTGGTTATTCCGTACAGGATATGGTGCAGGGTCATTAAACTTCGGCTCATTGAATGAATAATCATTTGTATTATCCATAGCACCGCTAAATGATTTTGATGAAACATTGAAACCAGAAACATGATTTTTAAGCTGATCAGCTACCTTTGCGTATTCATTTGCTTGCTCTTTGCATGAATTTTGAAGGTGAACAATCATCAAATCTTTTGTTTTGATGATTTGTTCTTTTGATTTAATGTCGTTTTCTAAAACTCGTATTCTTTCTTGAGATAGTTTGTTATTAATTCTTTCTTGTTTGAGTTGAGCACGCAAATCTTCATTTTCAGAAGCAAGATAAGGATCATTTTCATCTTCTCTTTGTTTTAGATCTTGCAATTCATTTTGAAGTAATAATATCTTTGTTTTTAATGATCTATTTTTGTTTTTTAATGCATTAATTATCTGTTTATATTGATCAATTTCGGAATCATCTTCACTTTCATCTTCTCTTCTCCTGCGTACATCTTTTCTATTGTGGTGATGCTGTTTTTGATAATGATTATCTGCATCTTGATCATAATCTACATCTTCGTTAATTTGACTTCTTGATGTTTCTTTTACTTCATATCTTCTTCTTGGTGGGGAATTTTGTGGCTTTTCTTCAATTTGTTGTCGATTTCCACGTCGCTTTTCAAGAAGAGCGCGTGCGAAAGGTTCTAAATCATTCATCTGAAATTTTTTATTTGAAACGTACACAGAAATTCAAGAAAATTTATTCTCATATGTGCTTACGCTCTAACTCTTTTTTGGTTGGCTAGCAGAATCCAAAATATTTCTGCTTCTTTCATTCATTTTTGCATAGATTCAATTATCTTACGAGATGTCATCGTGTTTAAGCACCATGGGTTCGCTTTTAACAATTAGGGGTATATAGATGCAATCAGTGTATGTGCCTATCATTTTGAATATAAAAAAAAATTATTATGGAAAAAAACTAAAAGGAATTGTAAGCATTCCAAAGAAGTACTTGTAAAAATAATAATAACAAACTGTTAAGTAATAGTAAAGCAATATGATTAATAAAACAAATATTTATTGGAGAGGTTTAAAAACTTGTGGGAACATTTGCCTTTCTAATTTAACTATTTCACTTTGTAATTCTTCATTATCCTTTGTCATCATAGCAAGTTGGCGCTTTAAAGAAGCTGCCTCATCTTTATATGCAGAAATCTTTCTAGAAACACTTGCACACATCTTTCTCATGTTCATTAATTCTTGTTGTTTCTGTTTTTCTGCATCCTTCTGAACTTGAAGCTGTGCACGTAAATCTTTAATTGTACGAACGCTGTATCTAAATTTGTTTGAATTATTGCTCTCTTTTTCGCGTAATTTTGATTTAAGTGTTAATAAATTCTGCTCTAATCTTGATAATTGTTCTTTCTTTTGGGCAAGATTTTGATTTGCTTGAGCTGTTGTTTGTTTTAAGTTTGGGGCATGAGAATTTCTCTCTTTTTGGATCTGGTTAGTAAGGTCAGCAATAGTTTGGATCTGTTTTTCGCGGTTTGCGCGTATAATTTTTGCACTTTCTTTTGCGCGTTTTTTAGCAGCTTCAATATCAGACTTTGCCTCATTTCTAGCTACATTAATATCTGAATTTAATTGTTCAATCATAGCACGAAGTCTAGATGCTTCTTCTCTTCTTTCTTGTAAACATTTTTCCCAAATTTTGTTTTTGCCGGCAAGTTGTGACTGATAATATGCTTGTTGCTTCGCTCTAAGTGCTTCAATAGATTCTAACTCTTGTTTTGTTTGATCGTTTAATTCAGAGATTTGATTTTTAGCCCATTCTTGACGATCTTTTTCATTTTCTTCGCCTTCCTGAGCTGCTGCTGCCAGTGTTGCTTGGTGTTTTGTAGTCTGTTGTTGTATTTGTGCTACATCAGATCTCAATTGTTGTGTTTGAGAATAATTTTCAGTTCCTTTATTTATTTCTTCAATAGTTGCCTTAATTGTCTCATCAGCCTTCATCTTCCATTCTTTAGAAAGATCAATGATGCTTGAGTCTGATGTATCCATTTTTCAATAAATTATAAACTGAAATTTGTCATTAATTTAAATTATAAAATATGATAGATAATTAGTAGACATTTAATTATTAAATTTAAGTTTTCATACGTTTATAGTTTCGAATTGATTTCAACAACTAGCCTATAATTAGAGATTACAAATGCAAGGGTGTTCTTCATTGTAGTTGTCTATGTTACATAGGAATAGAAAAAAAAATTTTGATTTGAGATTAGAAAAATATACAAACAATTTATTCAGCAAATATTAACTCATCAAACGTTGGACCTATTTTTCTATGTAAAGAATCATCATAGCTAAGATTTTGTTCACCAATCCAAGGAGGAATAATTGTTGGATCGAAAACGTCTAATTTTTGGAAAAAATCTACGAAATCAGGGTGAACGCATGTTTTTATTTCAGTCGTATTAGGAACTGGAGGAGTTGTAAGATTGATTCTACTTGAAAATGCAGCTATCATTGATTTTTGCCATTGGGCCGTCTGTGTACTTGCCTTTTTTGGAGAATTTGCTTGTTCTTTTTGTTTGGACGTTGCACTTTCGAAATGTTGTGTACTGGAAATTGGATTTTCGGAAATATCAATTGTAATTTCATCGTCGCTTGATTCTACAATGACTTGCTTCCTTTGAGATGGTTTTTGTGAACTTAAATAAAAGTTGGATTTTGATTTTGAGCTCATTGGAAACTGATAATCGGCGCTGCACGCCGATGAAATAATATTTCACACTAATGCATCTCATTCTAAATTTAAAGATATACGTCATGAATAGTTAATTCTTCCTGTTTAGAACCCCTATTAAATTGTATACATTCATTATTATACATCACTTTATTTATAAACAAAATACACAATATATATTTACATATCAGAATAAGAATTTGGATCTGACACGAATACTGGAGATCCACTAGATTGCTCTTCTTCTTCCTCAAAGTTCAATCCTAACTCCAAAAGTTCATTCAATAATTGTTCATCTGCTTGCTTCCTATCATTTAGCATTCTCAGTCTTTCCTCCCTTGTTAATGGTTGGAGCAATGGTTTATCATCTTCAATATCTTCATTGTATTCTTCTTCTTCCATTTGGAATTGCTCATTACTTGGTGTAATCAGAAGAACTTGTTTTTCCTTCCTAAACTTGTCCAAAATTTCCTTAGTTGGAGATTTTATAACTGATTTGCGGTTGATCTTTGGAGTTACTTGGTGCAAATCAATCTCTTCTGAGCTTTCTCCAATCTTCTGGTCAGATGACTCGAAAGATTTATTATAATTGAAACTTTCTTCTTCACTCTGGTTATCATTAGCATATTCGTGTGCTGACTCCTCATCCTCTTCATTCATTTCGTCTTCTTCCTCTGAGTAATAGTTGTTTTCTACCTTTTCTTGAGTGTTTTGTGTTGGAAGAATGTCGTACTTAGGTTCGTTGTGGAAATAATCATTTGGAGAGTCAATTTGTGATGGTTTAATTGGTTGTTTGCGAGGAACTGGAGTTCCTTCCTCTGAATCTGAACTTTTCTTTTCTGGCTTGTTTTCTGGTATTTTATTTGATCTCGCAAAAATGTCTTCGCTCTTCTTCATCAAATTCTTGAAGAACTCGTCAACATTTGCGATGTCTGAGTCTTCTTCTTCTTCTTCCAATTCATCGTCATTGAAATGAAGAATGTCATCAGCAAGAGAAACAGCATGGATTTTCTGATATTCTTTTTCATCGTCTTTACTTTCATTTGTCTCAATTGGGGTGATCTTTTTAATTTCTTTTGGTTCAATTTTTGGCTCTTTTTTAGAAATTGGCTTCTTATTAGTTGAAATTTTTGCCTTAATTGGTTGTTTTGTTGGAGCTTTTACGGTATCTGGTTCATCATTTAGTTCCTTCTTGGTATAATTCTTTTCTTTACGGCTGGGCATTGGTTGTTTCTGAAAAGCTTTATCTTTTTGGGTAATTGGCATTTGTTTTGATGGTTTTGTATCTTTTTGAGCTTTTTCTTCTGTGTTTTGGATGATTTCTCTCTTCTTTGGCTTGTTTTCTGATTTTTGACGAATTTGAGAAATCTTTTTTGTATTTTTCGGGTCACTTAAAGAGCTAGAGTTGTCTTTCTTATTGACTATATTGCCAATGTTGTTGTAAGCCAGTTCTTTTTCGAGTTTACTAATTTGTTCGTTAATCATTGTGTCTGAATAATCAATGCTATCATTTTGTACTGAATTCTGTAAAACTTTTGTATCTTTCTTTGATTTTGGTGTGATTGTAGATGTAAGTGTTATTCTTGTTGACATTAAAATTGATTCGCGCGGATTTGCATTTCTTATTTCATTTTTCGGGGCAACTTTAATATCAGCTTCTCTGTATTTCTTTCGAAAATATGGAGATCCTTGATTTCCTGAGAATCTATTTAATAATGAATTATCTTTTTTATCAATTGAATTAAATCTAGATACTGTAGGGATTTCTGGTTGTTGGGGTGGTTTTATTTTTGACCTTGATTTCCTAGATGAACCGAATTCAAATCTTTCTGAGCTTTGCATTGCTTTTTCGTATTGATTCGTTAAATTACTCCTTAACCTTTCTAAACGCAACTCAGAGTTTACCTCTAAATTGCGTGATTCTTTGTAATAATTTCGATGTTGCATAAATATTTCGAAAAAGAAAACGGATAAAAGTGTCAAATATAAAATCATCTAATCAAATACACTAAATTAAGCAAATCTATTCTGATTCAATAGTACACTGTAGATTCCATAGATGAATATAATTCATTGATGATTGATCTCTTCAAAATAAATATGATTGGCTAAAATAAAATTCAATTTGATAGTTCAATATATCATTAATATGCTGAAATATCTTTCATCAATCCAAATAATGTTCTGTTTACTATTAAAATAGATTAAAATCAAATATATTGATGAAAAATCCCATGATTTTCTTTCTATAGGTTGAATTTTCATTATCATTATATTGCAAGTTTGTCTAATAAGTTGGTTTAATGAAGACGCATTTCTAATTATTGATTTACTTCATAATTGAATGATGCGATAATTAAAAAAATTGAGAGAGATTTGATCGGCCGGCCACCTAAAAAATGAGTTATGGTCCTAGTGCTTATGAACTTGTAGAATTTCGACAGAAAATCAAAGGTGGATCAAGCTCTTTTGATGAAGTCATTCTGAATTTTCACTTCTCCTACTTTTGGAATCGAGGAGATCCAGAATTACTTGATTATATCATCAAAAACGCAAAACTTGTCTTCAATAGTGCCTTATTTTTGCGAGACACAGAAAAGAAAGTGATTTTGATTTGTAAGGCATTGTTAACAACGAATAGAATTAGTATTTACCCAGTTTTTATGACAAGATCAAATTTCTTTAATTTTTATGTGAATTTTGCTCAAAAACTTAAAAAGCAAAGCAAACTCACTCAAGATGCATATTTCGAAATACTTAGAATCATTACTCAAAACGCAACTGTTTTATTTCCTTCATTTAAAACAAAAGAATACATAGATGTGCTTGTCAGCAACTTAGATATTGTTCCATGTTATGATTTTCTTACTCTTTTAGGAACTGGCGGAAAAGAATCTTCATTTTTGAAGAATATCAATTTCTTGGACATGATTGTAGATAAAATAGTTGAAAACTCAAATGCCTCATATCATGCACAAAATATTATTATTAAATCTTTCGATTCTTCCCTTTATTCTTACATAATAAACTCATTAATGCTTGACAACAAGTTCGCTCAGATAATTGACAACTCGATTCAATCTCCCAACCCAGATACATTCGAGTTCTTACGTTTAATCATTGAAGAAGCCGAATATCATTTTGGAATTTCGAATTGGAAGAGAACAATTCATTTGGTCGATTACAGATTGTCAGATTTCATCAAAATTTTTACAAGCCAAGAACAATTTACGAAAATTTCGAAATCAGTCTGTTCGTTGACTTTGGTCGTGTTGAAATACACAAAGCGTAGGACAGCTGACATCGATTCGATATTCTACAAGCTTTGTACTGATTTCTTTAAGTACAAATGCAACACATTTTTGCATAATACTTTTCTCAAGTTCGTACGGGATTACAAGAGCTACAAACTGCTGGATGATGAGATGCTCAAGTCATCTCACTTGTTTGAGATGATAATTCAGGCGTTCGAGACGTTTGATAAGCAATCTTGTTCGTATTGGGGCCAATTGTACGAAATTGCAAAATTGGTCAATCCGTACTTTAAGAGCAATGACCAGAAAACAGTTGAAGAATGGAAAAAGATCATAAACTACATAGGACAAGCAAATAAAATAATGAACTCGAATTATGGCGGCAGAATTCCATTTGTCATTAGAATACAGAGACGTGGATTGGAAACAATTATTGCTTTCGGACTTATTTGTCTTGTTGTTGTTATTTTGATTTATTTATTGGTTCCTTCTTCAAGATAAAGGTAATTTTGTTTGTTTTTTGTAAAATTTATACTATCTATCTGTATATATTAAAAAAAAAAAAAAAAAAAAAAAAAAAAAAGGTAGTGGGGCTCCCAGGCACTTCGTGCCTTCTAGCCCTGAGGATGAATGAGTATAAATGAAATCTCAACAAAATATTTACGATGAAGTCTTGACAAAGTCTTTATGAAGAAGTCTTGACAAAACATTTACGAAGAAGTCTTGACAAAACATTTACGAAGAAATCTCAACAAAGTCTTTACGAAGAAGTCTTGACAAAGTCTTTACGAAGAAGTCTTGACAAAGTCTTTACGAAGAAGTCTTGACAAAATATTTACGATGAAGTCTTGACAAAGTCTTTATGAAGAAATCTCAACAAAGTCTTTACGAAGAAATCTCAACAAAGTCTTTACGAAGAAGTCTCAACAAAGTCTTTACGAAGAAGTCTTAACAAAACATAGACAAGAAAGTTCATGAGTGTAAATGACCCAAAAATATATTTTAGGGTAGAAGGGTATATCTACCCCGTTTTCTACCCTCTTTTCTACCCTCTTGAATTTTCATGAAATTTACACCAAAAATATACTACTAGGGTCATTTACGAAGAAATCTCAACAAAGTCTTTACGAAGAAGTCTTGACAAAGTCTTTACGAAGAAATCTCAACAAAGTCTTTACGAAGAAGTCTCAACAAAGTCTTTACGAAGAAGTCTTAACAAAACATAGACAAGAAAGTTCATGAGTGTAAATGACCCAAAAATATATTTTAGGGTAGAAGGGTATATCTACCCCGTTTTCTACCCTCTTTTCTACCCTCTTGAATTTTCATGAAATTTACACCAAAAATATACTACTAGGGTCATTTACGAAGAAATCTCAACAAAGTCTTTACGATGAAGTCTTGACAAAGTCTTTACGAAGAAGTCTCAACAAAGTCTTTACGATGAAGTCTTGACAAAGTCTTTACGAAAGAAGTCTCAACAAAGTCTTTACGAAGAAGTCTCAACAAAGTCTTTACGAAGAAGTCTCAACAAAGTCTTTAACGAAGAAAGTCTTAACAAAGTCTTTACGAAGAAATTCATGAAAATTCAAGAGGGTAGAAAAGAGGGTAGAAAAGAGGGTAGATATACCCTTCTACCCAAAATATATTTTTGGGTCATTTACACTCATTTACGAAGAAATCTCAACAAAGTCTTTACGAAGAAGTCACAACAAAACATCTGTCAAAAACCGCTTTTTAACTTCACTTAAATGCCACGTAAGCTACGTAAGAATATACGTAAGAGGAAGAGAGCATTGAAACATCCAATAGTAAAACTAACACCACAACAACAGTTGCAACAACAAATGCTGAATGACCCCACTATGTTGCAACAAATGTCAAGCAATCCTATGCTTTTAAACCGAGTTGTTGGTGCACAGAGTGGAGGTTTAAGAGCGGCACTTTTAGCGAAAATGGCAGGCTATGGTGGAGCTGCAGACGGAACAGCCTATAACCCTCAAAGTCAAATGAATTTGAGTTCACTCAAAAATCAAATAACAGATGTCAAAAAGTCAAACATAGACATACAGAAGCAAATAAGTGAAAACGAAAAGAAACTAGAATATGACAGACACACAAAGAAACTCAATGAGTTAAACGTAGAGAAAAAGAAGAAAGAAGAACAACTGAAAGAACTAAGTACAGAGGAATATGCGAAAAAAAGTGTCAGAAAAAGCAGCAGAAGTAGCAAGAATGGAACAAGATGTCATAAATTTGAAAAAACCATACTACTCAATATAAAATACTGAAAGATGAAGAAATAAAACAAAAAGCCCTGAAGACATATATGGATAGCGATGAGTATAAAAAGAAGTTGAAGCAAATGTAAAGGCAGAAAAACTTTTAAGTTGCAAACCAAACGCGTACAGTATGAAAACTTAGCACAAGAAGAGTAAAAATAACGACGCGGCTATGCAAAAGGCAATGAAAAGCGCAGAATATATAAAAGCTAACAATGACTGGTTAGATGCCCAAGCCAACGCTAAAGCAGCCCAACTCATAGGGTCAATAAGGACAAAAATACAAGCAGATGAAGATAGTTCAAATGAAGCTTTAACAAATGCTGACTTTAAGAACGCCTTCGAAGCTCTTCATAGTAAGGTGAAACAAGTGAACGACTTCTCATCTGGAAAGAAACTGAAGTCTGAAGGTTTCGACACAAGAGTTAAAGAAGTAGCACAAAATATGACGAAAAATAACAGATGCAGCAACGAGACAGGCAGTTCAAAGTGCCTATGACGCCGTTAGAGCAACTGTTGTGGAAAGTCAAGAAAAAGAGTTACAACAGACCAAAACAGACCTAGTAAATGCTTTCTTAAGAACGAAAAGTCAGGTAGGACATTATGCTGCAGATGGAACATATGTGCCAGCTGGTGGAACTTATATACCACCAAACCCTCCAAGAGAAGCACCTGCACCAGGACTACCTAAAACATTTACATCGTCACATGGACATAGACACAGGCATGCACAACAACCAGCACAACAACCAACACAACAACCAACACAACAACCAGCACAACAACCACCTCCACAACCAGCACAACAACCAACAGTTCAAAACACTGCACCACAACCAACAGTTCAAAACCCTGCACAACAACAACCACAAACAGAGCAAGGACATAAAAGAAGTAGAGAACAAGGAAACCAAGAATTCTTAAAAATGCTTAAAAGAAGAGTGTGGTTTCCCAGATACTGTTGACTTTAGTGACAGATATAAAGAAGCTATTAGAAAGTTCAAGGATGGAAATACTGACCCGAACCTATTTAGCTTTATGGCTCAGCACCAAAACGGATATAATCTCAAACCTGGAAAATACAAGCTCGCTAAGGGATATGATTTAATAGCATATCATCCAAAATGACATGGATGAATTTACTCCGAGATATTTGATGTCAGAGCTAAATGACAATTCAACTTTCGTCATGAAACGCGTAAAAAATAGAGACGGAACGAAAGAACAAAAGCTTATGAATGCGGATGACGTAGATAGGGAAATTGTTGAAAACGGTCTCGGAATATATGAAATGCCAGCAGATGAGGTACAAGAAACTCCACAGGAAGAAGTTCAGATACAACCAGACATGGAAGAAATAGTTCAGCAACAACAGCTAGAAGAGCCTGAAGGAAACGAACAAGTCACTCCTTTGGAAACTAACTTCACAGAACTAGATGAAGATTTGGAAAGCCGAAAAATCTTGACCCTCAACAAGAGTATGCGGAGAATATGGAATATTTCCAAGAGTCTAAAAAAATTCGGCTGACATAGTAGAAGAAATCGAAAAATGTTTGCCGACATACAAAAGACTCCAACACCAGATGAAAATATTCAGCATAGAATGGAAGCACTGAAAGAAAAATGTACACAAATACAACAACCCTTTTTACTTACGAGCATTTAACGTTCAAATCTTCGGATGAACTCGGTGAAAATAAAAGGTTAAATTTCAAGAAAACATATAGAAATGAAACATTGTTTAAAGTTCATTCAGAACCTAGCCAAATGGAAACAAACCTACTTTTGTTTCTGCAGACGATGGAACTACAATGAGATGGGGTCATAAAGCTAACCCGGATAGGTGGTTCATAAACTTACAACCATTCCAAGAAGTTGTAGACGCAATGGAAGTCAATGGTGAACCAGATATAGCTGGTATTTTTCAGCGCGGCTTTAATCACCATTGAAAGATATGAAACATGCAGATATTTTGGACCAGTATGAAATGAACATGGCTGATGGAAATATAACACCTGACGTTCTAGAACATTTATCTCAAAGAACTACACAGAACCATAGAGATGTATATTTGGTGAAGAGTTTAGAAAGAAAGTTAGGGAGGGAGAAGGAAGAGAACCTATTGTACATGACCTTGCAAACGAAAGTTTACAAAATGTCATAAAAACTTACTTTGCAGACAATGAACTGAGAAGGGATATTTTAAGAAAACTCAAATGGACAAAGTGACCAATGTGTAGTATTGAAAAACAATGTTGCTTGACAAAATAAAACCAACTACAGAAATAAACGACGCAAGACTGAAAGATTGGGTAGAAGCTTTCCCATTCACAAAAGATATAGTTGGTAACATGGAAAGAAAACCAGAATGGCTACAAAAACATATATTTGGAAACGAGCATATTCCATATGGACAGGCACTGTTTGAAGAGCTTGAACCGGAAACTCAGGAAAGAGTCATGCAAACAATACGCGAAGACTCAAATACAAACTATGACAAAATCTTTCTAGGATATAGGTTACCTGAGATGGGCGACCAGAGCCAAAGGCAAAAAGGACATGGGAAATTTGCAACATACTAGATGAACATAATGCAAAGATGCAACAACTTCAAGCAGAGGGCAATGAAGGAAAAAGAAGAGTTAAAAACTCAGTCAGGAAGAAAGTAAAGCTTGGTCGGAGTGGGTTCTATTATGACATATAAATCCAACTATTCTATATTTTTACTCATATGAAATGTACGCCGCTCAGAATATAACGCCAACAGTTTTGGATGCCATGAATGGAAATGTTTCCGAATGGTATAACGAATGCGACAATGCCATTAGAAGGTCAGAAATAGTTCCTGGAACTTACGAATATACAACTGCTGTTTCTTATGGAAACGTAGGTGAGTTTGGAGAAGGTTCTTCAACAACAGTAGATATTGCTTGCGACAGGTTTCATATTATTTCTATTGACAACTCTTTCTTATACGTGGAACAAGACATTGAAATAAAACCTTCTGCCAAGTTGTCTGACAAGAAAGGTTGCAATGGAATTTTCTATGTCGGATACCAATATGCTCCAGAAGTTTTCATGGGATATAAGATATATTCTAACTCTGACCTAGTCCAAACAGTAACATGGGCAAACTATGAATGGTTCGCTTTGAGAAACTCAGTACAACCACAAGCTAGAGAACAAACAGACCAGTATGCAACTATTGAAAAAATAAGAAGACTTGACCCTAACGTTCCAGGAGTTTATGTTGACCTTTCTGGACAAAATGCAGCAGCAGTAACCAAAGTAAAATTGAAACTTAGAGTTCCTTTGTCATCTTTCCTCATCTTCAGGTTTTTAAGATACTTGCCAAACTGGGCAGGAAAAATTTCTATCGAACTTACTCCAAGCAAAAATAACTTAGTCATTGCACCAACACAAGACCCATTCACTCTTACAGAAGTAGTGGGAACAAATAAAATGTCATTCGCCGACTTTTGCAAAAACAAAGTTGACTTAGACTTTGGTTTCTCAAACCTCAACACTGAAGTAAACTATTATTTCAATGCTGCTGGAGATGCTTGGGACCCAGTTAAGTTCACATGCGAAAAATTTGAATGCAAGAGAATAGAAAGCAGACTTGCAGTCTATATGTTGGACCCAGATATTTCAAATGCTTTAGCTGCCAAATATATTGCAGTTCCACTTATGTTCCCTATACACCAAATATCTGTCAAAGACTTTGCAGGTGAAGTTGGAAACCAAAGTGCTGACCCAGGTGCAAGAACAGATATTGCCTTAACTACTGCAATGAAACATGCAGATACTATGTTTGTACTGTTCAGACGAACTATAAATGACTATTCTTGCTTCTACAACCCTGGTATTAAATACCATATAAACATAGATGGCAAATATTATCCAAGAGAAGAATATTCTACAGTTGAGGATATGAGGTCATACAACTTGACATTAGATGCTATGAACTTTAACAACAACTTCACAACAACCATTAACCCTGAAATGCAAAGTTCTATTATGCCATATGTGAAAGTATGGACTCATACAGGAGGTCAAAAAACTCAATATACAAATGGAGACCGTTCAAACTTTTGGCTTGGCATTCCATTTGCTGACTCAGAAGACTTTATGGGTGGTATTTCAACTGTTGGTACAGTTCAAATACAATATACTGGTGACAGAGACGGTCCAAATGAATTGAAAGCAAAGAAGTTTACAAAACCAATAGCACTTTTCACGGAAGATGCTCTTTTGAAGATTCGTTCGATGAAACCTGCTGGGGCTCCTCAGATTGGTATAACGACAGCTTCCATCGAGCAGATTTTGGCAGCAGGTCAGTAAGTTGTTCTTGAACTGACTTCTCTCCGTCAAATATTGACAGTACGCCAGTTTTGATATAATATTGTATTAAAAACTTACCTTTAGAAATATCTGTAAGTTTTGAAGTTATATTTTTGTCTGCTTCAAGAACTTTCACCATTTCAGTTATACCAACTTTCTTTGCTTTATGAAAATATTTTGGTTCAGCAAAGACTGCTATTCTATAACATTTTCCATTGTTTGTATAAAGAACTATTCTATCAGTGTATTTGTATTGTTTGTGTGTGTAAACTTTGTTTTGCTTCAATTCGAAGAGATACTCAAATACGTCCATCTTTTTATTCTAAGTAAAATGTCATTTCCGAAAAATAGAAGCGTAAGTGTTTCAAAAGGTTTAATGGCGATGGCAGATGTGAAGTTAAATTCACCAACTCAAACAAACAGTCAAAGTGTTGTTGTCAATGTCAAAGAAAGAGATGTTGAAGTGGGGAAACCATACGAAGACGAAGATGGTATAACAATAGTTCCTGTAAAAGAACAACCAACATACCCTGAAGTTAGCAGAGACTTAAGTTCTGTTGCAGATATTCGAAACGACTACCAACAACTTAAAGACAAACTTAAAACTCAGGAGAAGATTTGTCAAGCTTTAGGTCTAATGTTAAACTTGGTCGAACACAACCCTGTAAAAGTGAACTCATATGTCATTGCACCTCATGAAGTTTTGAAAGAACTATTGAAACTTTTGACAGAGGCAGACGATATAAACATCAAAGAAATAGAACCCGACGTTAGTTGCTGTGGTGTTTCATATAATGTCATTGACAAGATATACGTTATGAAAGGAGGTGAAACGTTGAACTTAAAGTATAGTTTCCCAGACGTCATAAAAATATTTGACGACCACAACATTTCATTAAAATTTACTTGCTAAGTAAATGGCAGAAGACATAGTGGTTTATACTATTACGACTAAAAACCCTGAGTCATATAATTCTATAACAACAAACTTACAAAGTCCTCAAGGACGGTATTGTAAACTAACTTTAAACACAATGACGACTAAAGCCTGTTTTGCTCTTTTGACACCAGAAGACTTTGTTGTTGTGAATGGTAAAAAATACTTCTTTGAAGATACTTACTCAGATATACCACCACACAGGTTTTGTTGACTTATTTAATACTTTAAGGACGGATGTAACATGTGCTGCAACTAGAGCAGGTTTCATTATGTTTGGATGTCCGACTGAGTTTAGTATAAACGATATGAGCTATAATACAAAAACTTATATCTGGTTTTTACTACCAACAGTTTCCTATAACAGGAAAAGGTGTCATACAAGGTTTGTCTGTTCCATTGACTTTAAGTACACCTATATATTGTTTCAAACTTAGGTTCAAAGTGTTATTCGAATGTCGACAACTACTATGACCAAAAGATACTTATGCGTATAAACAATACTTTCTCTGCTGGTTTGCCTATTGTTCATTCGAATGCAGAGTTTTCAGCTTTAGTAAACTCAAACACTTTAGCAAACATAACGTTGACATTAGTCGACGCAAACTTTGTTCCTGTAAAACTTTTATGTCCTATGTATTTGTCAATGACGGCAGAAAGTTTCGAATTGGAAGATGCAACTGGTGAAAGTATTGTATTACAAGAACAACTTCAACAACAAATGCAACAAATGGAACAAATGCAACAACAAAGTCAAGAATAAAAAATAGCTCAAGAATAAAAAATATATTTTTTTTTATTTTATTTGAAATGTACGCTGAGTTTGTTGGAGAAGACCGTTGGGAAACTTGTTTGTTAGATGAGAAATATGAAATTCACTGTTGTGAGTCATTTGAAGTCAGAAACAAAAAGACAAAAAGAGTTTTAAGCGGATGGGAGCGAAATGACGGATATGCTATGATGAGGATGGGTGGAAAAAACTATTTTAAACATATTGTCATTGCAACTCATTTTATACCGAATCCTAACAATTTACCTCTTGTAGACCACATAAACCGTATAAGAAACGACAATAGACTTGAAAATTTACGTTGGGTCACTCTTTCTGAAAACAATAAGAACAGAGGCAAATTTGGAGATATTGTATTCGAATTTGTCGACGAACTAGAAGATGAAGCAATTGAAATTACAGACTATGGCAAGCATACGCTTGAGTTTTACTACTATAGCGAAGAACAAGACTCTTTCTACTTTTATACCGGTGTAAACTATAGAAAATTACAAGTATATTTTACTAAGGATGACTATGCTTATGTAAACACTAGAGATACAGATGGAAAACACGTTCATATACTTCTTAACAAATTCAAGAAGCTATATGGCATACCATTTTAAAACGTTTTTTAAAAAAATATTTTTTTTATTTTTATAAAAATGTACAGAATAGATGTTTCAGATTTTTATGACTTCCAAGCATTCAGAAATATGTGTCCATTTAGAGACTATAACAAAGCAGTCGAGAATTTGAAACGTTTAGTCATTTATGTCGACTCTGCCCCAGAATGTTATGTCATGAAAGAATGGGATGTTGTCTTTAACAAACCAAGAGCGACAATAGTTTCAGAACAAGAATGTAGACAGAAACTTAAGAAAATAAAAGTCGTACAAGTTGGCATGAAGATGTTAGATGCTTGGGATATCTTATTGTCGAAGTTAGAAGATTTTTCAGTTCGAGGTATAAAGTTCTATACACCATCTCCAAACTTCTATTCTATCTTCACTGGATATAAATACGAACAAGTAGAATGGAAAGAAAATGTTATAGAAGCTTGGTTAGACCATGTCAAAGAAATTATATGCAATGGAAACGAAAAGGTTTATGAGTATATCTTATGTTGGTTTGCAAACATCTTACAATATCCAAGTGCTAAAAATGAAACTGCTCTCATTATAATTGGAAAACAAGGAACTGGTAAGAACACATTCTTTACAGATATCTTATGCAAACTATTAGAGGGCTATTCGAATCCGAATATGACAAACTTAGAAAACATCTGCGGTAAATTTAACTCTTCAATAGAGAATATGAAACTTATAGTATGTAACGAACTTCAAAGTATAGATACACAAAAGTTTTGAACTCAGATGCTTTGAAGAGTCTTATAACAGACAAAGTTGGAGTTGTTGAAAGAAAATATAAAGACCAAAGAGTTTGTGAAAATGTTGCAAACTTCATTATGGTTTCAAACAATTCTGTTCCGATGAAGTTAGAAAGTTCTGACAGAAGATATGTAGTTGTCAGAACGTCAGAAGCTCATATGCAAGATACAGAATATTTTGACGACTTAGCAGAAACTTTGACACCTAACTTTTACAACCACTTGTTCTCATATTTCATGACATTAGATATTTCTAAGTTCAATCCAAGACAAATTCCACATACCGAAGAAAGACAAACATTGTTAGAAGCAAACAAGAGTGTATATGAACTGTTTATAGATGAGACTAACTTTGAGTGTTTAGATGAAAGGTCGTTGTGTACGATGAATATAAACAATATTGTCAAGAGTATGGTTATATGACAGCGTCTAAACGAACATTCTTGGCAAATGTCAAAAATCTTTTAGATGTTCAGAATGGTGTATATACAAAGAAAATTTTATGAGTAAATTTTAAAAAAATATTTTTTTATCCGATAGAAAAGATGACGAAATATTTTCAGTAAATAAGTACATGACAGAAGTCAAAGAAGAACTAGACCCATTCGCTTATTTGAATGTTTACTTCTACCATTTTGAAAAGTCTACATTTGACAAAGTTTGGAACATCGAACCAGTTAAGTTTGCTATTGTGACTAAAAATGGTGCGAAATTTGAAGACTTAGACATAGAAGGTTTGTTAGCAGTCAAAGAAAATTTTGACAGAAGGTTCTCAAACCTTAAAGAAGGCAAAGCATACAAACTTGTTATACCTTATGAACCAAAGAAAGCAGACGACTATGAATATTATGAGTCTAAGATAGTTGAAGTTCAAGGTAAATTAGGTAAAAAGATTTTAGAGTCTAAGCCAGTGTTTGCTCCTAAAGAGGAAGAGAACATTGACATTGACCCAGAAATGTTCTAAAAATAAACTTTTATTTTTACATGTCATATCTCACCTTCTCTGGAACTGGTTCAGGTTCTTTCTTCTCTTCTTCTACTTTCTTTTCTTTCTTTTCTCTCTTCTTCTTCTTCTCTGGTGGAGTTATGTCAAATTTGGCGCAACCATATTTATGTAAAAGTTCTTTGTCCTTTAATAGCTCTTCTATTCTGTTTTCTATTTCATCTTCAAGAACAGCGCATGTGTCTTCTTTGCATTCTAAGAACTTTTGTTGGACTTCAGCTTTCCAATCGGTGTCATCTCTGTCAACAAGTCTGTCATTGACAAACTTAAAGACTTCTCTGCCTAATGTTTTATGGTTCTTGTCATATTCCCAGAAACAGAACTTTAGAACAAATTCACCTTTCTTGTTTACACTATGTAAGATTTTATGGTCGACAGAAGTTTTAGAGTCGAAAAGCTTGTCTCGAATATAGATAGCGAAATCGCTAGACATTTTCTAAAAGATAAAAATTTTAATTTTTCTAAAAATATGTTAGAAAAAAAGTTTGCTGACATTGACAAGAAATTTGAGAATGTTTTGAAGAAGAACAAGAGAAAGTTAGAAAATGCTCAGATAAAACCCATACATGACAAGTTCTTATTTGCTCAGAATGGTATAACAGGTCTAATCGCACCACCTGGGTCGGGTAAGACTTTCACTTATCTTAAAATGGCTGCACAACAACAAGAACTAGATGAGAAGAACCCATTCTATGAGTTAGTTGTCATTTGTAGTACTTCTGGTCAATTCGACCAAACCGTCAATTCGTTCAAAGATATTATAAAAAAGTCTAAGTTAGTATGTATAAAAGACTCTGAGTTGTTAGATTGGATAAAGAAGTACCAAAGAAGAGTTTTGAAGTACAATGCTATAAATGAGTATATAAATTCGAAGTTTAAAGACCCAAATGAGGAAATGCAGAGAATATTAGAGAAGAAACACTTCAGAAACAAACAGAAAGAGATAGAATACATTTCGAAGAAATTGCAATCGTACGATTGGAAGACTTACCCTCATAGATGTCTTCTTATCTTAGATGACTTTGCTTCTCATCCTTTGTTAAAGAACAGAGAACAAGACATGTGTCGAATTCTTAAGAAGCTCAGACACTTTAACATTTCAGTTGTCATTTGTGTACAGACAGCCAAGAGTTTAAGTAAGGATGTAAAGAGAATACTTACTGACATTGTACTTTTCCCTGGATTGTCCGAAGACGATTTCATGGAACTTATGAAAGAGTCCATGGCAGGTAAGTTTGACAGACATGAACTATGGGAGAAGTACAAAGTCATACAAGACCCTCATACTTCTTTCAGAATTCACATCTACGCGAACAAAGTTCAAATTGTAAAAAGTCAAGCTTGAAAAATGTAAGAGTTTGAGTCTTAGTCTGTTGTGGTGCTGGGGCTGTCGGTTCTTCTGGCTTTGGAAGACATTCAGGAAGAGGAACGTCGGACATTCGTTTGTGTCTTAACCGTCTTTGTTCTGAAACAATATAATATTGTCTTGAAAAGTACAACATTGTCTTGAAAAAGTACAACATTTGTCTTGAAAAAGTACAACATTGTCTTGAAAAAGTACAACATTGTTCTGAAAAAGTACAACATTGTTCTGAAAAAGTTCAAGACTTGTTCTGAAAAAGTACAGCTGTACTCAAATTTGAGAGACATTGTACTGAATTTATACAACATTGTTCTGAAAAAGTACAACATTGTTCTGAAAAAGTACAATATTGTCTTGAAAAAGTACAACATTGTCTTGAAAAAGTACAACATTGTCTTGAAAAAGTACAATATTGTCTTGAAAAAGTACAACATTGTCTTGAAAAAGTACAACATTGTTCTGAAAAAGTTCAAGACTTGTTCTGAAAAAGTACAGCTGTACTCAAATTTGAGAGACATTGTACTGAATTTATACAACATTGTTCTGAAAAAGTACAACATTGTTCTGAAAAAGTACAATATTGTCTTGAAAAAGTACAATATTGTCTTGAAAAAGTACAACATTGTCTTGAAAAAGTACAACATTGTCTTGAAAAAGTACAATATTGTCTTGAAAAGTACAACATTGTACTGACTCAGTATGGAGCTTGACCCCTTAGACGAAGCAATTTATCTAATTGAAATTAACGAGCTTGTTAAAGACTTCCTCAGGCAGAATGTAAAGGTCAAGCGTAAAAATAAAGATTGAAATTTACCCTACTTGTTTGAAGTTGTCGAAATACTCTGTTATTTTTTCCTTTAACAATGGCAAATCTTCTTTGAAGGTAAGTATTGTACAACCTTTCATATCATAGTGTGTTTGAGGTAACGTATCTTGAACTATCTGTTTAACATCTTCATTCGGTGTCATTGAAATCGGTAAGTTTTCGCGATAGAACCAATTTCTGTCAGATTTGTAAATCTTAGCAAGGTCGTAAAAGCTTTTGTTGTTTCTTCTGACTAAATGCAACATAACCATATCTCTGTCTTCTTCATTTTCCATCTCTTCAGTATAAATCATATACTTATAGTTCTTTTCCTTTCCTTTTGGTACCGAACGTGGTATTCTTTTCTGTATGGTTTTGTCTTTTGCTTCAATGACTTCATCTTTTGCTTGAAGTTTCTTTTCCATCTCTTCACGTTCTTGTCTATGAATTTCGTCAAGAAGTCTGTAAATATACCAAGCATAACGAGGTGAAGCCCACATTGCAACAGCATTTACAAGAAGTCTATGTACATACCAACCTCTCAAACCATTTGGCAATTTTTCACGATTTTCATAGAGTTTTGGCGACTGCGGTTTTTCTCCCACTCGCTGTTCTTCACTGTTTTCATAGAGTTTTGGCGACTGGGGTTTTTCTCCCACTCGAGTTTTTGCGACTACGAGAAAATCCGTAGTCGAATTTTCAGCTTCATTTAATAGTTCAATAGTGCTTTGGTTCCTAAACCAGTCTTTAGGAAGCTTGGTATCTGGCGCAAAACATGCTGTCAAAATACTTTGCATTTGGTACATATCGTCTTTGACCGAACGAATGAGACGTAACTGTTTGTTATACTGAACCCACTCGTATTCTTCATTTATAGCTTCATGGACTATAACTGTTGTTGTGTTCTCTGTTGTTGACATATCTGTCTTTACATACAAAATAAAAAAATAAAAAAAAATAAAATTAGCGTTATTTTCTATCTTGTATAAAAGACCAAAAATAAACGCTTTACATGTATTTTTCAGCAACTTCGTCAAATAATTTTATAGCTTTATCTATCTCATCTACTTCAAACGTTTCCCTACCTTTCGTGGGAGCACCATACATCTTCTCAAACTTTTCAAGTAGTTCTGTTTCAGCAGCTCTCATATCGTTAACGAACGCAACCTTAACTCTATTGACTATATTGTCATATCTTTGAGTTATATTAAATGTTCTTCCTATCTTATATCTCTTTGTATTGAAGTCCTTTGGTTTCTGAACGATGTAAAGTAAGCCTTCACTGCAACGTTCCGTATCGAATGAACCATATGTTATGAAATTATATCCAACAACTGGGTCAATCCAGAACAAAACTACTGGTATAAGACTTTTGTCGATGAGATATGCTCTTGTTCCATAGAATCTTACCGATATCATAAGCTCAGGATTTTTTGTCAAAATTTTCTGAGTAGAAGCATTTTTAACCCAGTCGTGTGCTTTCTTTCCTTCAGATAGTGTTAAAATGTCTGACAAAGAATATTTTTTGTATTTCTTTGAGTATCTTACGTTTAAATCACCTATTCTAACCACCTTGGTCTCATTGTCTATCTTTTTAACTGTTTCAAACTCAGTGTTTGACATTTCCTGTTCTTACATACAAAATAAAAAAAAATATTTTAAAAAAACTAGCTTTTATTTTATTTTGTATAAAAGATACAGTTATATCATGAAATTTGGTCATTTTTTTACGATTTTCATGTGTTTTAGGCGTTCCTCGGTTTTCCGCGGGTCGCAATTTTTTACGATTTTCGAATGGAATCTCTATCCTCGGTTTTCCGAGGGTAGCAAACATATGAGGAAATTCATGAAATTTGTTGCTGAATTCAATAAAAATATATTTTAGGGTAGAAGGGTATATCTACCCCGTTTTCTACCCTCATTTCTACCCCATATGTCCTTACTGAAAAAGTATGTGTTCCATATGTCATTTTACTCAGAATTTTATACAGAATTCAATAAAAATATATTTTAGGGTAGAAGGGTATATCTACCCCGTTTTCTACCCTCATTTCTACCCCAGTTATTTTACAAGCGTTTTACATGGTATATGTTGTGATGGTTCATGACTTTAAACAGTTTTGTAGCTTCTATTTCTTCACGAAGGATATCAAAAATTTTAACTATGCCGAAGGTTTCTTTATATTTCTTCTTGACATCTGAAAGAAGGAAATCGTTAGCAGTTGGATAGTTTTTGTTCAGAAATGTCAACATGTCCATTTTATCTTCTGCTGGTTTCTCTACTTCTTTCTTTAAGTCAGTATGGTCTTTTCGCATACGTTCTATCTCTTTGACGGAGTAGTTATATTTCCTTGTTGCTGCTTTACATTTTGAACATTGTGAGTTCATTTTTGCGTTATATTCTGAAATTTGTCCTGCTAGTATGACTAAGGCGTAGATGGTTTTCTTTAACTCAAAAGTTGCGGGTTTTATCTGTTCATTCCATATCTTACCTCTTCTATCTTTATCTCTTATCTGCAAGACACACTCAGCAACTAACGAAACAAAGTTGTCGTAGGTCTTAAATTCTTCAGATTTATATATGTCAATGACTTTGTGGTTGCAATGAAATCCAAGAAACTCATAGTTTATCTTACGAATGAACTTCTTTATTTCAACTGAGTCAGTCAGTCTGACTTCAATTTCATCGAATTCTGGAATAGTGAGCTTTTGTTGTTGTATTTCAGGAAGTTTAGGTAGATGGTCAATAATATCCTGCATTTCATAAAGATACTGTTCATTTGTTTCATCTTTTGCACTACAGTCTAAATCTCCTTGGAGAAGTTCCTGCTTTATCTTCTGGATTTCTGTTTCGAAAGTATATGAAGAAGGAATGAAGCTTTTCATCTCTACTAACATAGAAGTTGGGTTCATGACTAACGAGTTTGGTGCTGTTGTTGCTGACATGTTCTTACAATAAAAATAAAAAAATATTTTTTGGTGGGACTACCTTTATTTTATTTCAGCACAAAATGAACGAGTTTGGTTTAAAAATACGGTGGAGCCAAAAATGGCTCGACCTCAAAACAAGCATTTTGTGAAGAATATACCAACCCGCGGAAAACGGCGGGTTGCTTTTTTTATACAAAATTCAAGAGTTTTGTGTGTTTTCTACGAGGGTAGAAAAGAGGGTAGAAAACGGGGTAGATATACCCTTCTACCCTAAAATATATTTTTGTCGAAAAAAAATGGTTCATTTACTCACAATATTTTTGTACAAAACGACCCCAAACTTTTAACTTCTTTTCTGCAGCTTCTAATGAAATTTTAGCGAGTTCATATTCTCTAAATTCTCTCTTTAAATCTTCTTGTTCCCATTGGTCTAGTTCGTATGGAGAGTCCTATAACCAGAACATATCTCACGTTCATGTTCTATTTGTTTTTCATGCATTTTTCTAACTTCTTCTTCGAACAAAGGTTTTGCATTCTCTACTGTATCTTCAAGTTCTTCTTCATCTAATTTCTCATGAACTTTCTTGTCTATGGAGTCCAAATTTTTTCCAACTGCTATACAATATTTTGGAGAAGCCCACATTGCTATTAGTTTACAAAGTCTTGGGTCTACATACGTTCCTCTAACCTGTTTGATTTCATCGGGAATTCCTGCATGAACTGTGTATAAAAAGCAACCCGCGGAATTCCGCGGGTTGGTATATTCTTCACAAAATGCCTCAAAATACTCTTCCCAGGACTTATTTTCCAACAACCTTCTAAAGTCTTTCCTAAACTGCTGACACATCTTTGTTGCATTTATATAACCATCCTTGTCTCTACGTAAGACTTCAATACCGTTGTAAGTGCCTTTTGTGAATGTTTCGCCATTAGATTTGTTCGTGAACGTTTTTGCTTCGACTGTCATACTGTTCTTACAATAAAAATAAAAAATATTTTTGGCTTAACCGTCGGACATTCGTTTGTGGCTTAACCGTCGGACCACAACGATAAAAATCTCATTTTAACTCACTTTTTTTCTATCTTAAGGAAATTCATGAAAATTCATGAGGGTAGAAAAGAGGGTAGAAAACGGGGTAGATATACCCTTCTACCCTAAAATATATTTTTCAATACTTTTTCAGCACTTCTCCGTAGTTATATATGAAAGACAATTCGAGATAAAAGTCGTAGTACAATGGAACAATATGTTGCACACCATTTGTTGTGAACCAAACTTGAAAGTCAGAGAAACTGTTACTAGGTGGTTCGTAGAATTTAGAAGCAAAGTCATAAAAGTCCTTACCAATACAAAGAAAACTATTGTTGCTTGAACTAAAACTTGCATGACACATAACATTTTGAGGGTCAAACACGTTTCTATAAACTGTCAAATCTGTTGGTGGGCGTATAAACCAGAACGGACCGTCAGGTGGTAATGGTTCGTTCTGGTTTAGTAACCGAAGAAATTGTGCCCAAGAACGTTTGTCTACTTGCCAAAATAAAAACTGTGTATCTCTTGGAGGGTTATTTTCAATCCTTTGAAATGAAACTGTGGAGTTCATCTTGTCATATTCTAGTTTCAGATAGTATGTTCCATTTAGTAAAGAGTCGTATTTTTCTTGAAATTCCCAGTAGTATTTGTTTATTTGAGTTTGAAAGTCATTTAGAGTTTTTTCAAGATTTTCGTCTGAACGAACTGTAAAGATTCTCATTTCATCAAATTTGTCTAGTAGACCATCATGACCTCTATACCGCCCATGAAAATATACCGCAAACATAAACGCGTTAGTTCTTTTTGAAAACAAAACTCTTCTAAATCCTATTGCCTTTGCATCTGAAGGACTTTGAAGCCAACGAATTGGATAGTCAAAGCGGTAGGAGCCGGATGAAATTTCTTCATCTGATATATTCCTACCGGCATTTGTAAAGATATAGTCTAACGGTTTTGTATCTGCTGCTTTTGTTCTTTGTTTTTCAACCTGAAACATTTAATATATGTAAAAATATACTATTTTAAAAAATGTTTTAAAATGGTATGCCATATAGCTTCTTGAATTTGTTGAGAAATATATGAACGTGTTTTCCATCTGTATCTCTAGTGTTTACATAAGCATAGCCCGCCTTAGTAAAACATACTTGTAATTTTCTATAGTTTACGCCGGTATAAAGGTAGAAAGAGTCCTGTTCTTCGCTATAGTAGTAAAACTCAAACGTATGCTTACCATAGTCTGTAATTTCAATTGCTTCATCTTCTAGTTCGTCGACAAATTCGAATACAATATCTCTAAATTTGCCTATGTTCTTACTGTTTTCAGAACAAGTGACCCAGCGTAAGTTTTCAAGTCTATTGTCGTTTCTTATATGGTTTATGTGGTCTACAAAAGGTAGATTGTTAGGATTCGGTATAAAATGAGTTGCAATGACAACATGTTTAAAATAGTGTTTTCCACCAATCCTCATCCTAGCATATCCGTCATTTTGCTCCCATTCGCTTAAAACTCTTTTTGTCTTTTTGTTTCTGACTTCAAATGACTCACAACAGTGAATTTCATATTTCTCATCTAACAAACAAGTTTCCCAACGGTCTGTTCCAACAAACCCAGCGTACATTTCAAATAAAATA